TGCGATATGTCAGGCAATCACGGCCGCCTTACAGACTCCGACACTTTATGGCGCGCAGGCGATATTGCACACAGAGAAGCGTAGTTACCCGCTGGGAGAGAAAAATAGACGGGAAAAAAAAAAGAAGAGAAGAATCGCGACGGCGAGACGATTCGACGCGGCGATTCGTCGTCTCGATAAATCGAGTTAATTCGCGCGAGAATAACTCCGAATTAATGAACGTTACCGCTGTGGTGACGTCGATAGCTTGTAATTGTTTTATATTTATCGTGTCGAGACGAACGATGCTTTGATCGGCGATGGATAATAATTAACAAAGGAAATAAAACCGTCGGAGATTTTTCACTTTACGCTAATGTATAACCGCTCTATTCCGTGTTCTCTATATATCCGGCAAAAGAAAAAATCTGTATTTATCTCATAATTAGCGGTTACATAAAGTCATACGATTAATCGATACTTCCGGTGTGTATATAATTTATTTACGAGACGAATAAACATTAAAAGCTGAAGCGAGAGTATACCTCGATATACAAAATGGAAAATATACACGGAATTATTTTTTAAAATTCATCTAAAAAATATGGTAGTGTGATAAAATACACACACAATATTTTAAAGATTTTTACCATCCACTTCAATAAAATTAATCAAATTTATTTTATATCTTATTGTAGTTTTAATAAATGAGAGAAATTTACATAAAATTCTTCGAATAATATAATGTTGTCCCAGAACTACCATATTTTCAGGGTAAACTCTAAGAAAAAATTCTGTCCATGTATATTTATGACAATTAATTTAAATATTTTATTAGCCATTTTATTTCGAAGTGTCCATATTAAATCGAGATCTTCTAAACTTTTAAATGTTAATAAAAAAGATAAACGCATCGTCGATGAAAAAATTATGAGTTACATCAGTGATGTGCAATCTGCGGATCGCATGCGGCCTATTAGTGAATTTTTTGCGGTCCATCAACTCTTAGTTAAAAATATAAAATCATATTTTTCATTTTATGCAGGTCAAATTACATTATGCGGCCTGAAAGATTTTTACCTTTTTTTAAAAATAGTCCTCTGAAAATAATCCTTAACTCTCCGTCTGCAATCATATTTTTACTCTCTTCAACAATCATATTTTTTATCTTATTTAGATTTATAATGTCCGAAATAATAATAAGTAGTAATGTGGAAACACATGAAATAATGATAAGAAAATCCTCAATGTGCGTACCGACGCACAATTAAATGATTATAAATCCATCTGCAATTATATTTTTACTCCTTCGACATTAGCAATTTAGACCCTAAATTTTTTCACTGTTTTTTTAAGGTTTTAAAATATATGTAGAAAAATTCGGGTTACTTTTACTTTTCAACACTCTTTTACATTACTAAATAGTTTTTTTAACTTAAATGTTAAAAATCTTTATTTAATAAAAATAAAATTTGAGTAAAAATGGGGAAGAAATTTAAAAGTAAAATTTCATTTGAGACAAAAAGACATAGATTGTAGACGGAGGTTAAGAAAAGTTGTGCATTACTGCGTTACATTATACGAGAGAGTATTATTTTCATCAAACCGTTTACGTATGCTTTCCAGAAAAAAAGAAATTTTCACGAGGAATTGATTCGTTTCGCCGACGAGTATTCATTTTACCTTGGATTCGACCTCTATGGCACACACAGTGAGCAGAGAGGACAACGTCTGGTCTGCACTTTCTCTATAGCCGGATAAACCCGGAACAATGTTACAACGGGTTGAATCGCGCACGATTGCGTAAGCGTACACGAAAACCTTTCCCGGTAACATTGACTTTTTCAAGTGTAATTGGTGCTCATGCTCCGATTACTAATCACCACCGTCGCGGTAAACGTGACATACATTCAATTTTACACACGGTGTGGTGATTCAAATCGCGCTTTCGAATCGCGCTTTCAATTCGTGTATTCAGAGTACATTATCAGCGAGTACATTATTAGAGAGAATACAAAAAATCTATACCCGCATATGTTCGATAGCTTAATTGTCTATTAAATATAGAGCAGAACAAAGCAACAAAAGAATAATTTACTATTTTAAAAATATCACTGCAAATGTATTAATATAGAATGCAAATGTGGAAAATATGTATTGTTACAATTATACATTTATTCATAAAAAGATTTTCAAGCCATACGAAAATACATTAGAAAATATTTAAAGAAATGAACAACAAGATAAAAAAGTGTTTGCGTGTTTCTATAAATATAATAATATAAATTTGTACTTATATTATTTAGATCATAAAATATATTTTGTTAAAGAAAAAAGAAAATATAAAATATATAAATATATAAAATATTACAAGCCTTGTTACGAAAAGGCTTGTTATATTTATGCTGTGCTTGAGAAATTAAAATAGATATTATTTCTTACAGTTTTTGAGGCAAGAAATCTGTGATGCTAGTTAAAATTACAACGCCAGAACATACAAAAAATTGAGTTTAAAATTGGAAAAGTATGTAGTGTTGTGAATATTCGTAAGATAAATCGCTCGGCTACATGAATCAATAATACATAGTATACATTATGTTTTGACATTAGAAATATAAAGTATCTCATAAAAATGTTATATTTAGTAGCGAAAATATCAGACGCAAAAATACACGAAAACTTTCCATTGCGTCTGTTTTCGTTATTAAATATAATATTTTCATAAGATAATCTATATTTTTAATGTCAAAATATGATGTAACATACCTGTCTTGCAAATTTCCACAACGCTACACATTTTCCTGATTTTAAGTGGGTAGATGGAGTAACGCCACAGCATTCCAGGTATGTATATAGTTTAATTTCTTTAAAACCTTAATTGTTCTAAAAAAGGAAAATAAATAGTACAACTTAGATGCTCAGAATTCTTATAAAGCTCATTATTTTTACATTTTTCTCATAAGAGTATAACTAATGTAAATTTAACTATACATATATACTAATAAAAAATAACCATAAAATTCAAATTTTTTGAAGATGTTATGAGCACTTCTTCTTACCAACTTACGTATCTTTAAACCACCTACCTATTTAAAGGTTAAACTCAATTGTTTATGTCTCGTTTGATATAATTTTAACTAACATCATCAAATTTGTTATCTCAAACACTATAAGAATTAAAATAGATATCATTTCTTATAATTTTCGAGACGAGAAATGCGCGCCGATGATGTTATTTAAAGTATTCCCGGGCACAATAAAAACAGGCCTTTTTGTAACATCCTTCTTTAAAATCTCATAATTTCTGAAACAAATCGCTTTAGGTAAAGATTTCTTTATATACAAGAACGCGTATGTGTATACGTGCGTTTGTACGTATTAAGATTTTATCTCAAAGTACATTATTTAACGAAGAAATTGACCTTGCCGTAATAAACACGTTATGCAGATTTCAATGGTCCAGAACGGAGCTTATTCCCGTTTCGGAGATATCGTACATTGTCAAGCACAGAGATTATATGTATAAAAATGAGTCAACTCATAAAAGTATAAGTTTATGTAGAGCAGAGTTTACAATATAGTTCTTTTTAGTATTAAATATAACTGATTTTCATAAACGTGATTCTCGTGCGTATTAAACTGAATCAAATATAAAAAAAAAACATTACCAGCATAAAATCCCTTATAGACTCAATTTTTCATTTATTGGTTAATTTAATTGCGATTAGACTTAATCTGATTATAATATAAAGATTATATTTTTCTATCTATGGGTAATCACTGATAGTTTTGTAGTGAATAACTTTTAAAGTTATCTCTACAAAATCAGTTCAGTGATTAGTTAGATATGTAGAAAAACACAATTTTTATATTATCCTCAAGTTAAATAAGATTAAACAAGTTAATCAGATAATGAAAAACTGGACGATAGAAATCCAACACCGGCCAATTTATTACTGAAAAACAATAACCAATTATTTATTTGGAATATTGAACAACTTTGCTTTTAATACTCTTAATGGAAGTTTTTAGTGCTTTTAATGCTTAAAATAAATAATTAATTCTCTTTTAGAATTACATTGACCAATGATACAGTGAATTCGATCACTCATACTAGATCAGTGCACATTAAAAACTGCTTTATGTAAATTATCTAAATACAGTGGCATAATACAATCAAATTTGCTAATCAAATAATTTATGTATACTCCATTAAATAGTGATGTATTAGCGATCAGATAATTTAAGAAGATCTGTTCTTTTTCGAATAGGTCTGAACTAGTACAATAAGTCAGAGTGAAACAAACTTTCTGTTTTACTCTAATTTATTACATCAGGTTATACCAGTTCAGAACTTGAGGTGGAAAAAGAACAGACCTTTAAGCTACGCATAGGGGCGGCAAATTTAAAGGGGCAGCATTTTTAAAAAGAATTTTTTTAAAAATTGCCAGTGTTTGCCAAACGCAAATAATTGAGAAAATTGCCCATCGAAATAATAATCAATAAAATATAGAGAGAATTCCATTAATTTAGATTAAGTTACATTTGAAGCTTGAGTAGAATGGCAACTATTTAATTGCGTAGGAGCGGCATAAATCCCAATCCGGCTGTATTAAACAATAAGAGCCAAATTGTTTTCATTGTTTGCACTCAGCATCTTCGTTTTCTCTCTTTTCAACGTAAATAAATCTATCTTGTTTTAAATGCAAAAATCTTTAAGGATTTTAAGCAACGCAAACAAACCTACAGTGACGGTGTCATTACTAGGCACTTACTCGTTTAAAATACTCATGCGTTTTTACATCTAACTTTAATTAACTTCACATACAGCAGCTTTCAGTATGCACTACTCCAGTGCAAGTAACCGAATTTGCTACTAGATTTTTGTAAAAGACAATTTCAAAACTCTGCTCGCACGCACGTTTGGTTTTCATAATATCGATCGACGCCAATTGACATCGCGATTGTGACAGACGATCGCACGAATCATCGAAAGATCATTGAACATAAAAGGCACTTACTTGATAAAACTAAGCTGTCCTGTGGTCGGTGTCGGTCGGTTGTTGGCGGTGGTGGACCAAGATCGTTGTGCGTGGCACGTCCGCACGTAAACTTAATTTTTGCTCTTTCCCCACTGGTAACAACTCCACACTGTGGCACTGTGTATTACCGTGTATGTGTATCTCGCGGGTACCCGGGGAGAGACCGGGAGACCGGGATACATTGATCTCTCGGAAGGAACGCGCGAACGGAAACGGAGACGACGCGACGCGACGGTATATAACGCGGCGACGGGAAGCGAAGTGAAGAAGAACCGAAAGGGAGGCGTAGGCCGCGTAAAACAGGAAGAGAGAAAAGGAGAGAAAGAAAGAGAGACAGAGAGAGAGAGTGAGACGGACGCGGAGAGTGGCCCTGCTCTGACACAGATCACTGACCAGCTTCACTTCGGAACTGACGCGATACTGACTCGCTCAACTCGCTGCCGCGCCGCGCGACACAACCGGCTCCGCGGCGCTCGGTCGTTTCCGTTTACGTTCGGCCCGGCTCGTTCCCCACTATCGCGAATACACACCTATACGAATGATACGCGGCGCGTGCGCGCGTGTTCGTTACTGCGAAGGTGTGCGGACGCACATATCACGTCGCGCGGGACCGTTGTGCGTGTACCATGCGTGTACACGTAGTGCATACGTCAAGGTGACGTGTGTGTACGAAGGTACGGATACGCCTACGCAATTTGGGCTGCGGACGATAATGAAGAACTTGCTCGTGCTTTACGCGAGCGCGCCGATACCGCGGAGATAGAACTATTTGCGTTAAAACTTCCCTTACAAGGCACCGGGAAACTTCGAGGTATATCGTTCATTTGTTACAATAAATGATACAACTGAGAAAATATTTCTGCAAACAAGTTGGAGTGTTTTAAACTATTTCGAATTTTGTAGTATTAATTTTAAAATAATATTTTGGTGTAATAACTGATTATAAAAGAATGCAGTATGTTCTTTTAAAGTACGTTTTTTTCATATTCCGTTCTTTTTTGCAATTAAAAAGCAGGTTTTGTAGTTATATTGTTATTATAGCAAAGTTCGTAGATCTATGCAAAATTGATTTTTTATTTTCGATTTAACAAATTTGAATGGGAATCTCAGTTTTGTATGTAATTTTTGAACAATACACATTTCGATATGATTAAGCGTTACGTCAAACTTACTTGTTTTAATATTTATGTTTATTATTCAAAATTCGTATTGTTAATTCAATAAATTTGATATTTTAATGAATAATTTGAAAATATAGTAGTTTCTATGAAACTGATAAGATACAAAGGAAATCTTATGCATAATTTATTTGGTCATAAATATATATCATATACACTTTATTTAAAAATTAAAACGAACAATTTGCAGATTTTGTTTTATATTTAAGTAAATTTTTTACATTTTATATATAGATAAAATAAATCAAAAATGCACATTTTTTATACTTACTACATTAAATTTTATTCTGCTTTAAATAATTCGCGTTTAATACAATTCACGTTGTTTTATGCAATGAAAAATTTGTACATACAACTACCAACGCGAGATTTATGAATTGATAATGATAAACTCGCGAGCACATTATATTGCGCGCATTATGGAATTATACAGCATTACAGGCTGTTCCGACGTTAAGTACGATATTCAAGGATATAATAGAATGCGCAGGAACATAGGGGTCTACACTAATGTCCGTAAAACCGCTACAATAAGGGTTGAATGCACATGATGGGTAAAAATATGATGTATACAAAGTAATCTACCTGGTATCTCCCTACAATTTCACATCTTTCGGTAATGATCTCATCAGATATCGCTTAATAATTTTAAAAATATTTAAAAATATTCTCAGATAACTTCGCAACAAGTATATAAGAAGAATGTTAAAGTATTTTCGAATATCAAATGATATTAATTCATTTTAATTTGAATGCTTCTATACTCTAATTAATTTTGATTTAAATACATATTAATCGGTAAAATAAAATCAATTATTAATTAATATAAAGTTAGGAGCATTATTTTAAATTAAAATACATATATAATGGAAGAAGACTTTCTGTCTTGCGTTTTCCTTTTCTTTTTTTCTTCTTTTAAATTCATATTTAATTATTTATAAACGTTATTTATAAAAACTATATGAATGTAACATACAAAGAGCATATCAGGAGACGCTACAGTGTTTCGGTTAAGCCAAGCATAGCGATATTATAATACGAGGTCGACAAGTGTTCCTTCATCCGGCGATTTTTAAATTCGCGATTATCGGATCTCAATAAAGGCTGAATCGATCAATTTTTCTATGTACACTCAATTGATAGCTTGCACTTGGATTGTTTAATAAGTGTGCAATTTAATTTTTTTTCTACGTGTCCTACGAGCGGAGATATTATGTCTCGACAAGGAACCGAGCCGAGAATTTTCTACAGCGACATATAATGATCCTCGCGGTTGTAAGATAATTATGGAAATTAATTTTTATCATTTTACGAGTGTAGATCTCGATTTTCTTCCATGATATGACTTGGCCTCGACAACGATGATCCCACTCGACGCTTACTAATTTTCCTCACAATTTTCGTGCCTGCATGTAAATATCCAATAATGCTTCAAAACGATACAATGCAACATACAATGTCGATTGTATAGTCCTCCTAAAGGCGAAATGCTTGTGATTTTTTACACCCACATTCAAACAGAAATTGAACTTTCGCAACATTAAGGAAGCACACATTCTAAGTTCATTCGGATTCATAACTTTCGTGTGTATCTTTTTTATTATCTAAACTTTATGATTGGTACACAAAAGGATGGTTTTGTCGAAATTTAAAAACTTAGTTACACAGATTTGATTGAAATATCTAAAAATTTAGCTAAATACAAATCTGACAACGATTTTGTTAATCTATCAAAATATTTATGTAGAAAATTCAAACATGATGAGCACAATGCTATAAAATATTTTTATATTCTAACAATCAACTTAAGCATCCTACATGATTACTTTGATAGTCCAACAAAATTTATTTTCAGATCTGTATCTAGTTGAATTTTTAGATACTTTAATAAAAAAAAATCGTTCTTTCCGTAAAGATTCAGATCTGAAAATCATTTCGTTGAGCCATCAAAATAATTATACAGTACGCAAACTGGTTGCTAAAATATCGAAACTTTGTGTAGAATTACTCATCATGCTTGAGATTTTTTTGTACGCAATTATTTTGACGGCTGAACAAAGCTATTTCCAAGTCTTTTAAATACTTCAGCAAAATCGTTCTTTCCGTGTAAAATTTTCTTCGAGTGCAAAGACTCTTCTACAATACTACGATTAACGCGCTGTTATTTATAATAGGCCTGGTTAGGTTTGAAGAAGCCATTCTAGCGGTTCTTTGACGTGCATTTTAAACGGGATGAGTTATCAGTCAAATACTAACGTCGGTACACAAGGCTTTTAACACTTGACTACTCCTTAAATTAGTCTCGGCGGAGTTATTGAGAGATGTGAAAGGACCGTGGAGAGTCGCGAAAGCGTGAGGTGACGGAAGCCGGGAGAGACGTTTGTATAGATGACGTCTTTCGTGCGACAGCAGCTTTACGAGGAGAAAAGGGGAAGGAAGAGCAAGCGGGAAGAATGAAAGGACGTTGTGTGAGAAATTGGACAAGGACACGGGTGGGCCATCGAGAATCGATTCCAAGCCCGCGTGCGTTACCCAGCTCGCGAGTCACGCATGGCTCGTATTTAACGGCATTATACTTGCGCCCGCGAGGTCACGATTCATGCATAATTTATCTGAAAGCACGGTGAAAAATAGTTTTGACCTCAAGGGCCAGCCCGGGAAAGGCGTTTATCCGCCACGCACTCGGCTGCTGTTACTGCCGCTGCCGTCTGCATAGAAAGTGGCTAGCTGGCCCTTGCAGTGTTACGTGCGAGGGTGCGCTGGCTAGAACTTGCAGTCCGAGTTGCAATCCGATTGGCTAAGGCCGCTGTTAGAACCGTTCCTGGTGTTAATGGCATTGCCCGTGTGATCTCTCGATGCTATGCTTCGCTACGAGCGACGGAGACGCGTATATACTCACTTGATACGAACCTACCCACGATTTACAAACGTATGATTCAAAGTCAAATGCTTTGTAGAGGATGCGCTGGCCTGTTAAAGTCTAGACACATTAATCAAAAGCTCAATGATAAAAGGAAGACAGAAATTTAATTATGATGAATAGCCAAAGTTTTATTATCTGTGAAAGATAAGACACTTTCTCTATTAAATTTATAAAGAAAACAAAAACGTTTCATTAATCAAGTCAATTGCTTTTGTACTCTGCTTCGCTTGATATAAGTATTACGACAATTTTCACAATTTCATTATTTGTATACCGTACCAAATGTCTTTAAGGTGTAACGTTATAGTTTTAAATGGTTCCGCGTAATCCGGCAGTATCGTCGATAGAATCTTCTCAAGCCGTGTTATCACCTGCCATAGGAACTTGGCACCGCTCGCTTCAATGGCTTCTTAACGCTACACAACGCTACGGAGAAACCTGTTTGTCATGTATCTCGCTCTTCGGGATATATTAACAGCGTTCTGTCGCTCACATGCAATGGTCTAGTACTCAAAGGAAACCATGTTTCTTGCTCTCTTTCGCTTGCGTTGCGTCGACAATGAAACTTCCTGTCCCACCGTATAAAATATACAATCTGCCTTGGAATCATCGTGAAAAATCTGAACAATGTGCGCAACAAGCGTGTCATCGTGTATCATCTACTTCTTTAATTAGCGATATTTAAAAGCATAACAAAATGGTTTTTTTCAAATATTCATTTATGCCACGAGGTTTTTCTTGTATTACGTATCTTATCTTTTTAAATCGTTAATTAAAATAAAATCGAGCTATTCCAGAGTTGTTTATCTAATCCTTAGTATACACGATAATTTTTTAATTCTTTTCTGCACACGATAGATCGTTCGTGTCTGGGTTAATTTTCCTCACCTTTACAAGTATACAAAAATTACTGATTCTTACATCCTTTATATCTTAATATCTTTAGAAAATATTTGTGAGCTTGTATATTAAAAAAAAAAGATTTCAAAAAGAAAGGAAAAAAGAAAACTGTATTATTTAGCCAGGTACTTTTAATATTTCAAAGAAAAGAAATACGCAGAACACGAACGATCTAATTGTATGTACTAATTGTAAGACTAATTGAAAAAATAAAATGTAAAAGCGTGGAAGTCCTAAAATAACAGAATGAAAAGTGCTCTAAATTAATAATTTTAAAAATTGGAAAAATTAAGGGCAGTAGGAGTTAGGCGCAGAAGACGTCGCGTAAATAATACACTTATAAAGCGTAAAACTTCTTTTATTCTATAAACGCGCTTACATGTTCGGCTCACTTTTGAGCCTTCCTCAGAGCAAACACAAACTAATATATATAAACTAAAAGTTATCCTGTCACGGCGAGCTCCCCTACATCGAGAATTTAAATGCCAGAATTAAACAAAAAAAGAAAGAAAAGGAAAATGAAAAAGAAGGGAAATATTGAAAATTAGAGAATATGGAAACTAATTTATCAAAAAACTTTAAGAATATAATAGAGTATAATATGGCTCAATAATTTCAAAAACACATTATTATATCAGGGCTACGTGAGCCAAAAAACAACAATTTATAAATACATATATTTATTCAATTATACGTTTCGACCTATCTCATCCTCAATGCTCACATGAAAATTATTAAATGTCTACCATAATCAGCTACACAGTTGCGACAGAATTTTACGTTTTAAGTCTTACAAATTGTAACACGCATCAATTATTGGTTAAATATTTGTAATATAGTTTTGCGTTTCATATTTGCTAATTGTAAATTGAATTGTTTCTATAATTCTGTTATATTGTAATGAGAGATTATTCATAAAGTTTGACTTTAATTATGGTAGACATTTAATAATTTTCATGTGAGCACTGAGGATGACCTGAGATAGGTCGAAACGTATGATTGAATAAATATATGTATTTATAAATTGTTGTTTTTTGGCTCGTAGTTCTGATATAATAATTTGTGTTTAAGAATATAATTAATTATCCCGAAAATAAGGACGCTCACTATGATTACAAAGCACCATATCGCAAACATCACCATGAATAATTCAAATATAAGTTCAAATATAAATTTCTAGTATCAAATATAAGTGTATTATTGCTTTATAAGTGCATTATTTGCGTGACGTCTTCTGCGCCTGACTCCTAGCGCCTTTATTTTTTCCAATTTCTTTTGATTTATAAAGAGTCTTTGTTCTTTTTTTTCCTTTAGTTTCCCCTTGATTGGTTTTCCGAGAGTCTTTGTTACCTTGATTTGTTATACGGATTTAATAATTCTAGATTAAAATTGTTACCTTTTCTTTGAGTCTCACGTTTCAAGCACGCGGGAGAGAGTCATAGCTCTCGCCAATAATATATTAATGTAGATACGCGTGTAAGCCGGTGCGTAATGCTTAGCTTAGTAGCGTCCTAGCAGGCATCGACACTGCCATATACTCGTTACCGCTGACACTCTCGCTGCTCGTCCATAACGGCAGCCGGTATATCCAGTCCCGCATAATTTTAACCGCAAGATATACGGAGTTTACCCCGAGGTCAAAGTACCAAGCCGTAGACGAATACCTAGATATTATTCCGTCGATTCGCCGACGGTTTTCGGAAAAAGGAGAAGAAGAAGTGTGCGAACGGATGATAAATGATCAGCTCGTCGCTTTGCATGCATGAGTCTCCGAAGGACTTAATTTCGTATTTCTAACGATTCGTCACGGCATTCCTGTCAATGCGATTCGCGAACCGCGATGACACACAACGACCATGCTCTGCAGAGTATCGATCATGTAGCTTTTTCTCCAGAGTGGAAACATGAAAAGGGAAAATTTTTATGTATGTTTGTATGCACGTATACACATCCCAGCAAACACAAGATTACATGTAAGGTACCTGTTAGTTGTAATTTTCCACTCAACAATATAACTGTAATATAAAATACGCGTGTTATATTACAATTATATTGTCGAGTGGGAAATTACAACTAACAAGTACGTCACAAAAAAGTTACATGATCCCCTGGCCGATGTAAATCTCAGATCAAAAGACACGGTTATGTCGCTACACTTAAATTTATAACATCAAATTATATCCCCAATTTAAGTTATTTTTAATTTAACATTCCTCAAATCGCCACTGTTCCTACAAAATATGTCATTAATTTAACTAAAAAAATGGCGTTAATTTAATTTAAGTAATGTATTATATTTGATGATATTTACTTTAAAACTAACCCAGTAAACACAGTAATTAACAGTAATTAACAGTAATTAACAGTAATATAACGTCAATGTTATAATTTTCCACTCAACAATATAAATGAAAAACAAATAAGGACTAATGAGAGTTTTTTACATGGTTAGTGCAAAAATAAAAATCGTTTATTGTCGAAATATAGTATAAAATTAGTTACGCATAAACGTTTTGGCCTGCTTCCAAGTCATCATCAGTATGTCTGTATAATATAAATTCTCACTTCTTCGTGGCAAAACGGCAGAATATGTGGCAACTCAATCTTCTTATTCAATTGCAGTAGTTGACAATTCCAGTGGCAACGAGTAACGATAAAAATCTGTGTAGAGATATCGAAAACGTTACCAATTATTTGTTATAATAAAGAAAAATTAATGCACTCATCCATATAGCCAGGAAAGACATAAACATCAAAAATCACTTAAAGTCGAGAGACAAAAGATCCACAAATTATTCATGTTTAGCGAAACGAATATCGTGACGGTCAACGTTCAAAGATAATACACAGTGTACAAACTAATAAGTGAAAACGGACGATATTTTGCAAGGATTGCGATGCGTCCTATGTCGAGCAGACAAGGACTCTAAAAACGAGAATCTCGGAACATTGTAATGATATCCGAAGGAACACGAGTAATCATTCTGTTATTACTGAACACAGATTGGATCTAAACCATGATTTTGATTGGGAAGGTACAGAAATTGTTGATTAGGAGCGGTTTTTTTTAAACGACGTATCTCGGAAATGCTACATATTTAGTTGCAAAAAACAGCCTTAATTTGCAATCTGATACCGAATTTTTACATCACTCATACATCTCGATTCTCAATACTTTACACTAATTTAAACTGCGCGCCATCTTTGTTTTTATCATTTAAGTAACAGTCTGACATATGTTGGTAATACCATCCGTTTTTACTTATTAGTTTGTACACTGTGTATTATCTTTGACTCATTTGAACGTTGACCGTCACAATATTCGTTTCGCTAAACATGAATGTGGATTTTTTGTCTCTCGACTTTGAGTGATTTTTGATGTTCATGTCTTTCATGGGCTATATGAGTGAGTGCATTAATTTTTGTTTATTATAAAAAATAATTGGTAACGTTTTCGATATCTACACAGATTTTTATCTGTTACTCGTTGCCACTGGAATTCTCAACTACTGCAATTGAATAAGAAGATTGAGTTGCCATTCTGCTATCTTGCCATGAAGAAGTGAGAATTTATATTATACGTTCAGACATACTGATGATGGCTCGGAAGCAGGCCGAAACGTTTATGCGTAACTAATTTATACTATATTTCGACAATAAACGAATAAATTTTTATTTTCGCACTAACGACCGCGCAAAAAACTCTCATTAGCCCCCCCCCCCCCACCTTATTTAGTTTTTTGTTTTTTTACATTCTCGAGAGTATGGTTACTTGTTTTATTTAATATAAATAAAATATAACACATGTGTAACTTATATTGTTAAGTGGGAAATTATAACATTGATGTTATATTACTGTTAATTGGTGTTTACTGGGAAGTAATTTAATTACAAAAATGGATTGATTTACACATATAAATTAAAAATAACATTTTGTGCAGTTCTCATCAAAAGTTCCCGTAAATAAATAGTTTTACATTGTTAAATATCAATATAATCCAATCTTTTAAATTA